CCTGCTGTCAAGACTCTCTACTTTGTTTTTTATCTCTTTTCCTTCTAGTTGGTCAGCTTTGATGGCTTCAAGTTCTTTGTTGAAGCTCTGTTTTAGGTCTTGTATGAGTTTCTTTACTTCCTTAATTTGGTGTTCAGTGTTTGTCCTCAAATCACTTAGTTGATTGGTTATGGTTTCTTTGGGCTCCCATTCCTTCTGTTGGGTTCCATTCAGCATTCCCTTTGTGGTCTCCCTGACTTCCTTCAGCTCTTTGTTAATGGATTCCATGAATGCCTTTAGTGATCTTTGTGTGTTCTCTACCTGGTCTCTCAATTCCTGTATTACTCTTTGATTAGCTTCCTCCCGTTCGTGGGATTCCTGCAGATCTCTTTGAGTGTTCTCAGCCTGCTCACGCCATTCCTCCCTTTCTCTTTGAGTATTCTCAAGTTGTTCACGCAAATCCTGTATCAGTTTTTGAGTAGCTTCCTCACGCTTATGATATTCCTGTATAAACTTCTGGGATGCCTCCTCTCTCTCCCTATCACGCTCATACATAGTCCTTTGTACGTTGTCAAACTTTTCATTTATCATGTTTGCCACCAGTGTTTGTAGAGTTGTTTGGGAACTCTCCTCTGGATTATTCATTATCTGTTCTAACCCCTGATTATCAGGATTGGGAATTGAGATACTCGAATTTGCCATTTTTCTTGTGTTTTTCCGGCTTACTCTGCCCATTTGGGATGAAGATAGCACCAGTTTTGTGCTAGAACACTATCTTAAGGCAACCATCAACCAAAGTTTGCATTTGTACAGTCAATAGTCTACAGATACAATCTAGTTCAACCGATACATCTATTCGACATCAAACAACTATATGTTAAAGAACTTCGAACCGCAGAGAAGAATTTGGAAAGCCAGAAATTATTAGGGTTAGGAAGAGATGTGGGTAAAAAATAGGAATAGATTGGTGTGGGGAGGCACAGGGAGAGTTAACTATGTCCTAATCACAATGCAGGAAATAGGTTGGGTAGGATGTAAGTAGAGAGAGAGAGAAAAAGAAGAAAGGGAAAGAGGAATGAAAAGAGACCAGAAAAAAATAGAAACGTAAAAATTAATGTTATTTTAGAGATTAAAAGACCATCTATTTATAGAGGAATATGAATATGTTGAGAGAAAGGGAGGGACATAGAGGAGATGAGAAAAACTTTAAAAAAATGCTTAAAATATTGTATAGGTATAAAGTACTGCTATTAGTGAATTTAAGTCTCAGAGGTTTTGAATTGAGTAATAAGTTTGTGGATTAAGTGTGTACACAATGGGGGATAGGGTCTACTGGTTAACTACGGGTTTATCTGAGGATGTGCAGGACAAGAGTTAAGTCACATAAAGATGAACAAAGAGGAAAAGATGGAAAGGATAGGAAAGTGAGAAGAAAAGATCAGAAGTTCAGTAGAGCTAGAAAAAAAAACAAAAAGATAATTAAGAATGAAAGAAAAAGAGAAAGAAGACAAGAAAAGAAAAGAAAACACACATTCACGTATTCCTAAAATAAAAATTATAAGAGGAGAAAAAAAAAAAAAGTTAATGGAAAACAATTATTTTTTCAGAAGAGGCAAAAATTAAAGATTAATAAAAGTTTTAGAAAAGCAAAAAAAATTTTTTTATATATATATAAGGTAACAAAAAACGAAAAAAAACAAAACAATAAAAAGAAAAAAAGAAAAGAAGAAGAAGAAAAAAAAAGTTCTTTGATTTTTTTTTTTTTTTTTTTGGGAGGGGTGGGAAGAGTCCTGTATCTCCCTTTTGTCTGTAACCAGAGTCTGGTTGGAGTCTCTGGTCAGCTTGAGGTCCTGTGGCTTGATTGGTTTCTTAAGTCAGTTTGTTGGAACAGGCAGGAAAATGCTCTGCTTTACCCAAGATTTTGAGATCCCCCTCCCAGGTTAGTTTACTGGGAGGGTGATCTGCTTTGAGAATCACAAAAGAGGGGGATGCAGTGATGAGGCTAGGTTCTGGGTAGAGTTGAGGCCTTTCAACGAACCGTAGCTTTTCCCTGGGGCTATTTTGTGAAAAAAAACTCACAGCACCCAGCCTGGAGCCATTCTCAGGGTTTCTGTTTTTCAATTGATTGTGGTGGCTGCTAGAGGGAGGGGCAGCCTCTGGCTCTGGCCACCCAGCGAGGAGAGCCACTCCAGTGGTTGGTGCCTGAGCTGGGCGACCCCTCCCTGGATGGAACTGAGTCTGTGAGGTCACCTCGCCGCCAAGTTCCTGTGACCTGCCAACTGACTAGCTCTATTCCAAGGCCTGAGCTGGAGCTAGCCGCTCCTCCGAGCTTTGTCAGTATCCAAGATGGAGATCACCGGTGCTGGGGGGGGAGGGGTGGCCTTCCCTCCTCTGCTCCCAGAGGAGTGAGGAAGTGGGGCTTCTACTCACGCGGAGTCTTGGATCTCGGGTCGTCTCTGGTCTGCAAACTGCAGGATGAAGTTGTCCGCTCCTTGTCGGTTCTTGCTGGTGTTGAGTAGAATCCGCTCGGCCGCTGCGTCTGGCTCCTTCGTCCCGGACTGGGTCTCAGGTATGCCTCCGCGGCGGTGGTCGCCGCTGCGACCCTGCCGCCGCAGCGGCAGCTGCTCAGATGTGTCTGCTTGGCTTCCCCTCTCTTGACTAACTCTCTGTCCTGTGATGGCACACTTGGTGTGATTCTCTGGCTTGGGACTGTTCACTGGAACTCTGAAACTGTTTTCTATGCAAGAGCTTGTTCAGATTCCAGCTTCTCCTCCGCCATCTTCCCGGAACTCTCTCCCAGTTTCCAGATTTTTAAATAAGAAGGTCAAGGTCAGGGATGGTATCAGTTAGAGGGTGATGATGAAGCAACACTGAATGTTGGGGAGAGGAATGAGGCTTGTACATTTGGTGTGATATATGTGAAATTTCCGGTAAGGACTGATGAGAGAGTTTTCTGGGTCCATTGGAGGAACAGCTCATTGCCCTGAGAGGAGGAACAGAGAAAGCAAAAAGCCCAGGATTTTCAGATGATCCACTGAGAAGAGAAGTCCTAGGGAGGGAGCATAAGGAAGGTGGCGGTGGTTAAAAGGATCAGAGACACTCAGCCATTCTGTGGCTGAGATGCCATGGGAAAGACAGGAGCAATTCTAAACACGAGTCTATTGTTACGTTTTCCTGGTGGATTGTTACTTTCCTTGGCAAATAAGGTTTTTAAGGAATATATATATATATATATATATGTATATATATGTGTGTGTGTATATATATATATGTGTGTGTGTATATGTATATATAGTTATTCAAGTCCCTTCTATGGATGGATAATGTTCCATTGTGTGTGTGTATATATACATATATATATGTATATATACACACACACAATGGAACATTGTATTTATATCTATATCTATATCTATATCTATCTATCTATCTATCTATCTATCTATATATACATACAGTATATCTATCAATTGATGCCCTTTTCAATTGTTTTCTCCTTTGGGCTATTATGACTAAAGCCAGTCTGAGTATTCATGACAAGGTTTTACATGGACATGCCATTTTAATTCTCCCATTTCCCTAGTCTGTCAGAACTAGATTTTGGTATCAGTTGTTCATATCAGAGCTTCTTATATTTTGCTTCATGATTGCCGATAAAAGTTGGTCATAGTGGCGCACACCTATAATTCCAGCACTTAGGAGATGGAGGATGGTGAGTTCAAAACCTGCTTGGGTTCCAGGACAGAGTGTGAGCTATATAGTGAGACCCTGTCTCAAAAGAATATTTCTCATAATATTGGTAAGGTGATAATTGATCATCTTTTACCAGTTTATTGCATATGTAGATTTTCTTTGCAACCACTTTATGAGATACAAGCATTCTTTAAAATGTAAACACAGATATATAGATATATATACATATATCTATATATTGCATTTAAGAGTTAAATAGACTAGAGTAGCTTAGGAATAATGTTAAATATAGTAATAAAATCCTAATGATGAAAGAATTCAGTACCAGGCCAGCTACATAATTACAGAAGACCTGTTACAAAATGAACATGTGGGACACTAGCCTGAGATGAGGGGCAAATCTCCCATTCCCATGGCCATACCACTCCAGTCCACAGCAAACAGGCATTCTCCAAGAGCTTGAAACCTCATCTCAGGATGCATAAAAACCTTGGTTCCAGATGAGTAAGCAGTTCACACTGAGATGCCAGACAAACACATCATGACTCTGCTTGTCTCCAATGGGGACTGCTGCACTCCTGCTATGCCTAGAGATGACACAGAAAATGCACCTGATTCTTAACACTCTCCATGTCCATGCCTAGTAACCCACCGGTTGAATGTAGGCCCTACCCCCTAGTTAGTGCAACTCAGTTTGTCACACCTTGGGGAAGCCTTATGTACCATCAGCAGGGAACTGGGGTAACTATGTGTGAGCTAAAACTGCAAGCCTCTAGTCATGCTCTATTGTGTCCACCCACTTCACTTAAAAACACAAAACACAGATAAAATGTTGAAGAATTATAAGATGGTGATCTCAGAGAATTCAATTACAATCAGGCCCTTCAGGACGTGTGTTAGCCCTATGACCACTTGTCACTTGTGTGAAGTCAGCTCTTAAGCAATGGAAGTTTATTTCTAAAGATGCTTTTAAAGGTTTGGGGAGACTTTAGCTCTTCACACAAAATAGCTCTCCAACATGAAATCAGTCATGCTGAACATTTAAAATTATATGCACTAACTTTTATGCACTTGAAATGTTGCTCTGTGTTGTATTTGGTTCATGGCATTATAAGTGACTTTTATGTTATTCTTTGTGCTTTTTTTTAACCCCACATTTTCCAGGTTTTCTAAGATGAATTACAATGAATGAAACCTTCGTGTTACAAAAATTTTACCAGATATTATTTATGTATTACTTATATGTAACAATATGGTAATTCTGTCCTCATTTTTGGAGGAATGCATATTTTAGGGCTTTGACTCAGAAATGTATTTCTCTTACTTAGGTCCATTAATATACGATTAGCTAATATTCTGGATACTTCTAAAGTTGAAAACCTTGTGAAAACCCTTACGCTGAATAAAAAGATCCTGGAGGATTTTGTCCAGTACAATGCAGCTTTCAAAGACCTCGTAAGTACCTGTGGTGACCAGGGTGACTGCCTTTCCTTTTCTATGGGGCCATTGGGACTCAGAGTCACACTTGACTTTTCCTTGGACCTCAGTTGGTGAATCATGTGAATTGGGTCTTGGGGAGCATCAGAGGTGGGGCTAGAAGGGGAGCAAAAAAAAAGATAAAATCGAGAAAACTCAGGTGACAGGAACTGTGGCTGTTCTCACTGGTGGTCCCCAAGGAGCCTGATCACTCAAAGCTTTGGCACAAAATGAGGTGGATTCTAGTCCCCAAATAGGGAACTCTGGGCCATGGGAATCCATGAGTATCTGATCCCTAACCCAGTAGCAATTAGGAAGGAGACTTGAGTTAATGGGATTGATTGATTGATTTTGTTGATACTGAGCGTTCTACCTCTATCACCCAATCTATTCCCCAGCTTTTTTTTTTTTTTTTTTTTTTATGTCCAGCTACAGTTTATTTTTTTTCAGATAGGCTGTCATGATTTTGCCTGAGTTCGTCTCAGACCTTAGTTCTCCTATCTACACATCCCAGGTAGCAGGGATAGGCATACATTATCATATCTGGCCTTCTGGTTTGATTCTATTGGATGATGAGCCTAACTAGACCTATTTGTTGAGTTGGCTGCATCCTTAAGGACTGGATGAACTGGGAAAAGATATGTGTGATAAATGTTGAGTTAGTGATGATGAAGCAGTAAAATTATTGACTCTGTTAAAATATCAACAATTGATATTTCATGTGTTTTTAGTGTTTGGATGACCAAGAGAGAAATGCATGTGAAGCACTTCTGCCGCATGATTTTTTTTGTTTTAAGGAATAAAAATAAAAACACTTCATAGACTACTTCACATGAAAGAGCAACTGACAAAAAAAGCATTATTGTTATTTGAGTTTTTGGCAGATATTTTCTTTTTTTTTTATTGTGAAAATACCATACAGAGGGGTTACAATTACATGGGCAAGATAATGAGTACATTTCCTATCAAGCATTGTTGCCTCCTCCTTTGTTTCCCCTTCCCATCTTTTCTTAAAATTAAATGAGATGAACCAGATATGGTGGCTCATACTTGTAGCCCTAGCTACTTAGAAGGCTAAGATTAGGAGGATTTCAGTTCAAGGATAGCCCAGAAGGCAAAGTGTATGAGACCCTTCTCAACTCCTTCCCAATAGAGAGCTAGATGCAATGGCAGGTGCCTGTTATCCTAGCTACAGCAGGAAGCCCAATGTTGGCAGATGGCTCCAAGTACATGATGGCCAGATGTGATTCTCTACCTCAAAAAATAACACCAATATCAAAAAGAAACAACAACAAAAACAGTTGAAGACAAGCCCCATTACCATATGAATGAGATGAAGGACTGAGTAGGTAGCTTAGCCCTAGAGCTCATGCCTAGCATTCACATGGCCCTGAGTTTGAGGCCCAGCACTGCAATATATATATATATAATTATGCATATGTATAATAAATATATACAACATATTTATATAATATATCATATTTGCATATATCTATTATATATTTACATATTATATTATTATATAATATTATATTTCTATATATTTTATTATATAATATATGCTTATATACACATTATCTGCATAATTATATATTTTATATGTAATTAATAATTACTATGTTGTATATATTTTTATATGTTGTATATATTATATATAATGTATAAATACATAATTTATGCAATATGTTATATAATTATAATATTTAACATATGCTGTATTATATTATATATAAAGTTATATATGCATATAAATAAATGAGATGAGCCTTTTCACTCCAAGAAAACAACTTCCAACATTTGTTACCAGTGATAAGATCTAGCCAAGAAAAGAAAAGTAGAATTTAGGAAAACTAACATCTGCCATGAGCTTGACAACTACTCAATACCTAAAAGGCTTTGTCTAATGAATCTGGTGATGATATTAATGAATGTAGTATTTTGATATTATGTAATGGGATGGGTCAACATTTGGCAAATCTGCATAGTCTGATGAAATAATATTTTCCAGATAAGCAATGTATGATGTTACAAAAGTATGCATAAATGAAAAAAAATCAAAGTGTAAAATAAACCAATGAATTTTAATATGATATTTTATACAATATTCATTGAGAGAGTTTTCAGATGCCATATTGCAACTAATCTCCTAAAACAATGCCATTTGTTGAGTTTTGGTGGAATATCAAAAGTATCCATATTTATCTGAAAAGATTACTTAAATACTTCTTTCTTTTCTAACTACATATTTTTGTGAAGACAGATTTTTTTTAAAATTGTATTTCCACCAAAACATGTTGTAACAGATTGACTACAGATATGGGAATTGAGCTGTCTTCTATTAAATCAGTAATTAAAGAGATTTGCAAGAAGAGAAAATGTGCCACTCTTTAAATGTTTTTGTTAAAATAATAAATACATTTAAATTCTGTTTCATCAATAAATTAAACAAAAACCAATTATGCAATCATGGTTGTGGGTTCATAATAATGAATTTACTATTGCTGACAGAGATATAAATGGTGATACTTTCAAGGGTCTTAAAATACATGTTCTTCTTTCCAGGAGGGAACACCAATGAGGACATTTGTGGCTGAAGTTGCAGAACAAATAGTTGGCATTGCAGTGATCAAAAATGAAATGGTAAATTGTGAAATGGCTCAAGTGGTAGAGTGCTCAGTGTAGCTTTGTAAAATATAAATTAACATACAATGTCTGCTTGTAAGTTTTAGTTTTACTTATTAATGTGAATGCCTCCTTTTCCTAAAGTGTACACTCATTGCCTCCCATCTGACAGCCTTTCAATTCTTTCTTTCTTCCCTCCCTCCCTTCCTCCTTCCCTCCCTCCCTTCTTCTCTCCCTTCCTCCCTCCCTTCCTCCCTTCTTCCCTTCCTCCTTTCCTCCTTCTTCCCTAACTCCCTAACTCCCTTCCTCCCTTTCCCACCCTCCCTATTTTTTTTTTTTGCCAGTCCTGGGGACTGAACTCAGAGCCTGGGCACTACCCCTGAGCTTCTTTTGCTAAAGGCTAGCACTCTACCACTTGAGCTATAGAGCTACTTCTAGCCTTTTCTGTTTATGTGGTACTGAGGAATTGAACCCAGGGCTTCATTCATGTTAGGCAAGCTCTACCACTAAGCCACATTCCTAGCCATGCTTCCTTTCTTTTTGTGGCACCAAATGCTTGGAATATTACAGAGAGACATGAAAACATTCTTATTCTGAAAATTTAACCTTTCACTCCCCAAATCAACCAAAAAAATTGCATAGCTCTCTTTCAACAGACGGCTACTACAATTAGTCATTTCTGTTTTCCAACATTCTTCCTTATACCTAATTACCTGGAAGTGGGGGGTGGGGCGGGAAAGAGAGATTTATCAAATGCATATGCCATTTTCTATTTTTCCAAATGGGAATTATTCCAAAGCATTTGTTACTGAGTAACACATTCTTTCCCTACTGGTTTAAAGTGTCACTTTTTCACATAGACACATATTCTTGTGTCTATTTTTAAACTCTATTTCACATATTTGTTATCAATTGCATCATCATATGCTTTGTTATCAACTAAGAGAGCCTTCTCTTACTTTTCTTCTTACCTAAATGTTCTTGAGTTTTCCTGGTTATTTCCTCTTTCAGACAAACCTCATGCTACTATGAATTTTTTCTATGCCTGTGTGGATTTTGTGGGACAATTAAAGAATGGTCTACATAAAAATATAGGAACGTGGTTTCTGTGTTGTCGTTAACTCTTTGACTTTTTAAAATACAATTTTATTGTTATTAAGGTATTAGACAGAGGGATTACCATTTCATAAGTCATGTAATGAATACATTTCTTTTTGGACGGCGGCAACCCTTCCTTCTCTTTCCCCCAGTTTCTCTCTTCTCTCCCTGCTCATAAGTTCCATAGTTCATTTCCCACTCCCTCCATTTTTGTACTCCCTTGCTCCCCATCACACAAAAGACAAAATATTTAAAAAGCAAAACACCACCAACAACAACAAACACGTGCTTGCATATCCTGGAATTCATTTTGATTAAGAGTATTTTAAATGTTGAGAGGAGTTATGCTTTCAGATTTCTCCCCTAAGAACTCTTTGAGTTCTTAAGAAAAGTTTTACAATCTTTTTTTTCATACATGGTTTTGAGGCAGTGAGGTTTATGTGTTATAAACTTGTCCTCCATGTGGTGGGTCCTTTAAGGAGCTGGGCAGGAGGTTGAAAGGCCTTTGGGAGTACTGCCCCCAGAAGGAATTAAGTAGTTCTTAGGAGGTCCCAGATCATTTGCACAAGAATAGGACTAACTACAATTAAGAGAGAGACTGGCTCCTGTCCTCCCCAAGTGTTCATACTATAATGTCATCTACCCTTGGGGTCTTCACTAGAGGCCGAACCCGAACCTGGATAGAGCTACCTGTTCTTGTACTTTCAGCCTTTTAATACTGTGAGCCAATTAGTATATTTTCTTTATAAAGTACTCAGCTATGAGCATTTTGTTATAATAATGGGAAGCTATATAGCCAAATACTTTGTGTTCCCTGAAGGCCCACCCTCTACCCTGTCCTGGTCCTAGGAGCTTGACTGAATGGGTGGCATCATAATGCCTTTGCCCCTTGCCTTCTGGGTATGCTTAGGCAGTGGGAGATCTTGATGAAGGAGGGGAAGACAATGAGGTTGAGATGCCTGCAGCTGGCTGATAGGCTGTTTGTGAATTCCTGCAACTAGTCCTGTACCACCAAGTAGAGGCAGATAATAGCTTGGAGGTGCTGCATACTATCCCCACTAAACCTCTTCCCATCCTTGTTGAACCTTCCTCCAATGATCTTGATTTGATGTACCATATTTCCTGATGAGACCTTGCCCAAATATGGTCTTAGACATTTATGATTTATTTCTATGTATTCTTATGGTATTTTCTTGGCATTGTAAATAACCATTTTTTCTTACTGTACTTTGTTAAAGTGTGTTTGGTATATGGAAAGTATTCAGTTTTGCATTTTGGTCTTGTACCCAGTCACCTTTCTGAAGTCTCATTGCTGAGTTTTAAGATTTGTTTGGATCAGAGCAACTAGAAGGAATGCTAAAATTCAGAGGGCGGTTTTATCAATTACCCACAGCTTCTATTGGAACTTTATTTTCAAAGTTCATATGTTTTGTTTTGTTTTATTTTTTGTTGTTTTGTTTTTGTCAGTCGTGGGGCTTGAACCCTGGGCTTGGGCGCTGTCCCTCAGCTCTTCAGCTCAAGGCGAGCACTCTACTGCTTGAGCCACAGCTCCACTTCTGGTTTTCTAGTGGTTTATTGGAGAGAAGAGTCTCATGAACTTTTCTACCTGGGCTGGCTTTGAACCATAATCCTCAGATCTCAGCCTCCTGAGTAGCTAGGATTACATGTGTGAGCTACCGGTGCCCGGCAAAAGTTCATTTTTTTTTTTGGGGGGTCCGGTCGTGGGGCCTGAACTCTGGGCCTGGGCGCTGTCCCTCAGCTCTTCAGCTCAAGGCTAGCGCTCTACCACTTGAGCCACAGCGCCACTTCCGGCTTTTTTTCTTTTTGCGTATGTGGTGCTGAGGAATTGAACCCAGGGCCTCATGCATGCAAGGCAAGCGCTCTACCACTGAGCCACCTTCCCAGCCCCAAAAAGTTCATGTATTTAACATTCGTGACTCTCCCTTGTTTATTCTTTTTGGATCGGCTTGTGTTACATGCAAGAGCCTCTGAGTATATTATGCAGATTATAAAAAAAAATTTCCAAAAAAAAAAAAATTTCCCCTGTTCTCTGAATGATGCTTTGTTTTCATCATAGCAAGTTATATGCTTCTTGATTCTAGTATTTGTATTCATCAGCTTTCCTCAAAAGTCTGTCTGTATTGTGAATGAAAAATTGGGTTATCAGTTTGAGTGGCTGGCATGGAGATAGTCCTCTACTACATCTCTCCAGTCACTGGCAGAGTTGCCCATACTCTGTCTAGTGGGGAGGGGAATGGCCTCCTCTTGCATGCATGAGTATAGTACCAGCAGGCCAGCAGAGACACCCATGTGGCCCAGGATGAAAGATGTAACCTAGTGGTAAAATCCATATCCAAGGTAAAACTGCCTTCCATTTTGGCCTGCCACTATACTCCATTATTTCAAAAATAAACTTTTGTTATTTTAAGAGATTGGGGAGGAAAGGAAAATAAGACGGCATATGCCCATCTGTTGTTTTGAGCTAGTAACCTCTGTTGGCTTTTGCTTTTCAGTGATTTCTCAGCCTTACACTTATTACTCATTTTATTTTATAATGAGCAGTGTCTCCTTTGTAATTAAAGTCTTATAGAATAAAAGCTGCTACAGGATCAATGAAGATTGAAAGGTTGCCAGGATTGCCCTGAGGTACCACCAATGGCCTCGTTACCCCTCAACTCCACTTCTGTTTTGTGGTGGAAGCTGGGAGACAAGGGACTTGGCCACAAACTTCACCATGTTCATGAATTTGCTAGTGCCAGCCTTGTTGATCACAGATTGAATCTGGCTCCTTATATGTTTCAGTCCCTCTTCTGAAAAATGTGCTTCTTAAAATAATTTTCCTGTGGAAATCAAGAGGAAATCTGAGTTGGTGTTTTTCAAGTCTACATTTGCTTTGATTGTTCTTTTCCCCTACATTTCAGATTTATTTAGTTTGTTTTTTTGTATCCAATAGATACAAAATAGGGTCTTGTAGTCCTTAGTTGTCAAGAATTAAGTCCCCTGTCATCAGAGTCATGTTCAGTTTGGATTTCTCTTCATTGTTCCCTGCCCCTAACATTGTATCTTTCTGAGAGGTGAAGGAAGCCAGGCTGAGTATTGTGTACTTTTAGCAAGGATGAACTTTTGGTTCCCAATGCAGGATGAGCAGAGAAAGAGAAGGAACCAAAATCTGACCATTGAAACAGGAGCAGTGTGTTCAGTATTCCTTTTCCATGGCAGTGCTATGAGTCCCTTTAATTACTTATGCAAAATTTACTATTTATAGCAATAAATAGTTTAAGGAATGCCGTATATAAGGCTCAGTCTTACAGCTCAGCCCTATGTGCCAAAGCATGTGACTCTTGAGATGCACATTTTCACATTACCAGATACGGGGGAACACTAGTTCATCTGTTTGCTTGACTCCTAAATTGCCCACATGCTCAGTCACTTGTGCTGATTTGCATGCTCTCATGGTGTCTAACAGTGGCGAGGGACTGCTGTCCTGTGGCTTAACTCATAGCAAAGACTCAGGGCTCTCTGTGTTGATAGACGATCATGGCTTTGTATAGCCATCTTGCAAATACAAGATATCAGAACAAGTATCTTTCAGGAAGCATAATTTTTAAAATTTTTTATTATTATCTTTAAGTAGTTGTACAAAGAAGTTCCCATTCTACAAAACAGTATATGAATACAAGGTTTCTGACAATATTGTAGGAAGTATTACAATGAAGGAGATAAATAATGGGAGAGGAAACTGTGTCTCTTACTATTGTTCCTAAAGTGACTTTTCTTTTTGTTTTGTTTTCTTTTGTGCTGGTACTGGAGCTTGCACTTGGAGTCTGAGTGCTGCTGCTTCACTTTTTTTGCTCAAGGCTGATATTCTGCCTCATGAGCAATACTTTACTTACAGCTTTTTGATGGTTAATTGGAGTCTCATAGACTTTTCTGCCCAGGCTGGTTTCAAACTATGATCCTCAGATCTCAGCCGCCTGAGTAGTAAAGATTACAGGTGTGAGCCACTAGCACCTGACACTAAAGTGACTTTTACTTTACTCAAAACACCCTTCCCTGCCTTTTCTCTAGGATATAGAATACATACGATCTCATTACAACATTGAAGATTTTATCTACTTCAGCCACCACCAGCGAGAAGAACATGGGCACTTGTTTCATTTTGCGCTGAACCCTATTTTCCGGCACTACACAAAGTTTTTTCTGAAGGAGATTCTTCGCTTGGACTATAAGTCCTGTCTCTACTACCCTATTTACCCACAGACTAGGGAAAGCAAGGTAAGAGATTGTTGTCACTCACTTCCCCACGACCTCCGTGTGTTCAGTTTCATTGCTGTGTGCGCCACTTTTCATTCATTCCTGTAGATGGGTTTTGATGATAGAATAGATCTAAATTTCCAATGGTCATATTGAGTTTGGGCCATTTTCTCACACTATGTGAAAGCCCAGTAGGGTTTGGAATTTCTGAAGCAGTCACAGCCAAATATAGTTAGTAAAACAATTTGTTGGCTTTTCTATGAATATAGGAAATAGACTGAAAACGATGCAAAAAAATGTTCTAAAAGACATGGAAATAAAATTATTTGCTCTGATGTATTACTGCAATGCCAAAATGATACTCTCATGTCCCTTCAAGAATTCCAAACAGATGTGGCACTGTAATCCTAGCTCATGCCTGTAATCCTAGCTACTCAGGAGGCTGAGATCTAAGGATGGCAGTTCAAAGCCATCCAGGGCAGGAAAGTCTTTGAGACTCTTACCTCCAATTAACTACCAAAAAATAGGAAAATAGGAAGTAGAGCTGTGGCCAAAGTGGGAAACAAAGGAGAAGGCAACAGTGCTTGAAAAGAAATGTACTCATTATCTTGCCCATGTAATTGTAACTCCTCTGTATGGTATTTTCACAATAAAAAAAAAGAGCTCAAGGACAGCACCTTAACCCTGAGTTCAAGCACCACCACCACCAAAATAATAATAATAATAATAATGATAATTCCAAGTGCAGTGAGGGAAGGGATGACATTTTCCAAAAAGAAATAGACTCTTTTTTTTTTTTTTTAGTTGGTCATGGGGCTTGAACTTTGGGCCTGAGCACTGTCCCTCAGCTCTTCAGCTCAAGGCTAGCACTCTATCACTTGAGCTACAGCACCATTTCTGGTTTTCTGGTGGTTTATTAGAGATAAGAGTTTCACAGACTTTCCTGCCCGGGCTGGCTTTGAACCGTGATCCTCAGATTTCAGCCTCCTGAGTAGCTAGGATTACAGGTGTGAGCTACTAGCACCTGGCCAGAAATAGACTCTATCTTACTTATCTAACTGTAATCTTCTGTACCTCACCTTTATTATAACAATAAAAAATTAACTCCAAATGAAATATAAACACCTCTATAAATAGACATACAGATGCATGAACTGATGAAACCCTATATAATAACTAGCTATATAATTCTGTATAACCCTTGTACTCATGTAGACTAACACCATTAGAATAACACACATTAAATGTGTGTATACTTTGCATATGTATACACAGAAACAAACACAATCCTCTTGCCCTGCTGCAGAGTTCTTTACAAGCCAAGAGCATGTGTTTTACCAGGAAGATATGCATGTCATGGTAAAAGGCAAACATCTGTTCTTGTTCAGAGCTGCTTCCCCAATGCCTAGAAGCCACACACACACACACACACACACACACACACACACACACACTTACATACTACGCCCTGGTTGTTCAACAGGCAAGCACCTATTCAAGCCAGATTCCAAGGCATTGCTTTTTGCATGTCAATTTCGTAGTCTCTGGCATCAACTGTCCTCCACTTAACGTGGACTTGAGGGGGCAATGAGCTTCAACTACTGAACTGTGTCGTCGTCCCAGTAGGTTTCGTTCCTGACCTCAAGCTGCCTAGTGCACCTGACATGGTCATGTTTCTTCTCAATGATCACAATAAAGTAGTCTTTAAGATGTTCTTACTTGTTAAACAGCCAAAAGTGTTAACACATATACATAACAAGAATTATACCAGTTTATATTATTAAACAAAAGCTTGTCAGAGAAGGACAGTGGAGATAAGGAAGGAAGAAGAAAAAACACAGGAAGATTTCTAGTGACATGTAATCTATGGGTCTACATTTCTATCAGAATGTAGCTTGATAGCAATGGGATTGCCCCAGATTTGAATGTAGTGAAGTTAACAATTTTGCTGGAAAACCCTGGACCTGCACAATTTCCTTTTACGTTACACATGACCTAGTGGCAATTGTGTGACCATCAAAATGTGATATTCTGAGATTTTATTCAAGAGGCTGCCTGGGTGTACTGAGTCAGAGAAAGTCCATTTACAGCCATAATAAGAATACCTTGGGTATTTTATTGAACTCTCATCTATTTACCAGTTAATGCAGACTTAGGAGCACATTATACATCATTGTATGTTGGCTATGGAAATAGATTTGGAAACAGATTTCCTTGGTCTCTGCTTCCAGTTGATTTGCACATACACATGTCAAAAAAGCATAAGAAGCAGTTTCAAATAATTTGGGTAAGATTTCCCAAATTCTGCCATAAATCCCTAGTTGAGGGAGTTGTGGTGAGGCTGAGTTTCTTAGAATACATCATGAGGGTTGTTTGCTCCACACCCACTGCAGATATGTATGCACTGAGAGCACTTTATAAGTAGAAAAATTGAGCTTTGGCTAGGGATTTCTGGCTTCTGTTCTTCAGTTTTTAAAGTTGAGGTATGAAGTTCAACAGTGAGGGATTCTAGAGACTTTTTAGAAATATCTGGGTCTATTTTTAGAATAGAGAAGTAAGTCATATGTAAACCATCTTATTTATTATGATACATCAACAGTTTGGCTTTACTTTCTTGCCTTTCTAATTTAAGTTTGATAAATGTATCATTAACAGTTTGGATTACTGAAATGGTATCTATTTCCTAGGTTAGTTTCACCAAAATTTCATAAGATTTCATAAACATGAGAAAACTAAGAACAACCATATTTGACCTTTTCTGACAAGTTTTAGAAAACTAAATATTTAAAGCATTGGCATAAAACCTGATTTACCACAGGTCATTTCAATAAGCATAATCTAGTGCATAATTTAGTAGTAATGGAAGTTAAAATGATATTTACTCCCTCCCCCCCCCCACTCTCCAGTTTTATCTTTTGATTTTGGAATGCTTTTTTAAAAAAAATTAATAATGATCCAGTTGAAGTCAGCCAGAATGACTTTGACAAGCAGGAGGATTTTCCCATCAGTGCTAAGTTGTCCTCATATGGCATTTTTATCTATGTGTCTTCTTAAAGCATGTTGTGCCAATCACACAAAGGTTAACAGGACGCAGATAACAGAGCTTAATGGGGTCAAATCAAGCTGATTCATGACCACTATGGAGAAGAATATCCTCTTGGGGAAAATACTTGTACTGAAAAAATCCCATAAACCAAACCACTTGTTTATCTGTCATTCCCACAGAGATAGTAATGTAATTACTCTCGTAATTATCTTCATTAGTGTCAGGCATTATCTACAATTCATTCCTCTGCTCGAAGAGTATGTTTGTTTATTTGCTGATTTTTTTCCCCCTCTCCGACTTGGCCCAGTTAAGAGTTTTGTATTTGTAAAGCTGCACGCAGACATCTGTGCTGCGCCTCTTTGACATTCTCTCCCCTAAAATATAGATTGCTGTCTTTCAGTTCCAGAACCCCTACGCCCACTCGCTGACATCTGCCCTTCATTACTTGGTTCCCGTGCGACCACGACGACAGATTGTCTATCCTCTGGAAAAGCTTGGCATAAACGCTCCATCAAAGTCGGTCTCCAAGGATCTGGTGGGTAGCAGGGCGGCAGGCTGGGAGGCTCGGTGCCAGCTCCTGCAGGCTTGGCAGATGGGGTGGCAGCACTGTCTTTGCAGGAGCAGGCTGCTTCTTAATTACAGGGAACCTGGCACTCATACCCTTACAGGCTGTGCCCCGTGAAGGCTCCCCTGCAGCCCTTTCCCTCAAGTGGTTATTTCCATAATCCTAAAACAGTAGCCACAGGATCCCACCAAGGGCAATGCAGGCAGGCACACCCCACGTGCTGCTGGGTCCCCGGACAAATGACCCAGACATACCCTTTCACATATTTTTGTCTTTCCCCTTCCTCATAGGCAGATATCCTCTATCAGTGGATGTTTTCGAGGAAGCATCCTCTGCAGTGGAGTGCTTTCGAGGAAATAGATGGTCTTTTCCCCACTAGGGCAGTCAGCTTCCAGAGCAACATTACATTGGAGATACGTGGGTCTTGAGCAGACTTTTTAACTCCTTTGTGGAAAGTCAGGGCGACTAACATATTGACTTCCCTGGGGTGGCAGAAGTTTTTATTTATTTGCTATTTATTTTTATTTGTTTATTAAGACCAGAACTAGAAGAGGGACTTGAATAGAACCTAGATGGAAATGTACAGATAGGCATGCACACAGCCATCATTATATCAAGTTGTAGCCGTCTTGTGCACTTCTGTTCAAATGAATTTTTAAAAATTCCTCAGAGGGCTGAGATTTGCCCTTTGTGTGAGAGAATGAGAAGTTTAAACACAACACATTAAGCTGAGTTGCTGCTCATCAGAGCTGAGTATGGTGCTCGGACACTGCCTCAGCGCCTCAGCTTGCAGCCAGGGCACAGTCTCATGCCCTGCTCTTGATTCACCTGTGGCTGTGGGGTCCACTGCCCTTCTAGCCACCTGAGAGGCAACCCTTTCCTGAAGCTGAGACTGCTTCAAATCCTGCATTTACACCGGTAAAATGGCAAGATGAAGTCGTACTTACTTTCCAACAAATCATCAAGTTATTTGAGTAGAGTCTGAAAGCAAACAGCAATTCCTTTGCCTCCTACCTCTTTTAGTATGGAAAATGGAGAAACGCTGATGCAAAGATAAGGAGAAGTATATAAAGCAGGGTTTCTCCATCTTCCTGGGATGATGGGTCTTTCACCATGTGTGAGTCATACTCACAAGATTGGTGCAGAGATAGTTCCGGGGGGAGAGGAAGATTGAGAGAGGACAATTGTAACATCTATCCATCACTAAAACACAGTCTCTCTGGGATCACACTGATCCCAAAGTAAGGACCTGAGTGGAAAAGGGACATGGATTCACCAGGTTCACTGCTTTGCAGCTTCTGTATCAGATAGGTAAAGATGAGGGACACTCCCTTTTGTAGCCATTGCTGAGATTAAAAAAAAAAACCCTGTGCATTAGTGGATATCCCTGAATCTTGTTTCTTTAGCCAGTCCTGTGGTAGCATGTGTGGGATGCTGGAGCTGGAGGGGGAGGCAAACAGAGCTGTCACATGACCAAGGACATGTTTTCTCTGCCCTTGGACATTTCCCAATTTAGACTACTTTGAGATGAGCTTGAGCTCCAGCTGGGGAGAAAACCAGAGAAAGCATTTTGTTTCATTAAAAGGGCTCCTAACATTACTTTCAGGTTGGTATGATTTGGAATCATTGCTTACATTTAATAACCTTTTTCTCTGGTCATCTGAGTATGCTGTGTCTCCCTGGCTTCCCAGGTCCCTGATGTATGTTAAGGTATAAGAAAGTTGAATTGTTTAAACCTAAGGACCAGAAAGATGAATACCACCACTGGATAGTCGGATAGTTGATGTTTGCCTATTGCTATAGTATTTATTATACCACTAAACTCTGCCATTTTAAGAATACTTTTACTGTTACTTACATATTCTATATTGAGATAAGATGTTAGTAAAGTTTAGGATCTAGTAAGGGGTTAGTGATGTTGTTTGGTGATAGAATTCATTCTTAGCATTCAGGAGAGCTTGAATTTGATCCCCTAACTGAATTAAAACAACAACAACAAAAAGCTGGATACTGGTGGTGCACATTTGAAATCCTAGCTACTTGGGAACTTAAGAGTGGGAGAATCAAAGTTCCAGGCTAAGCTTGGCAGAAAAATCTGAGGGACTCCCAAGTCAGTGGAACAATCAGGACTTGGTAGAAAACAACTATCATTCTAGCTATGTCAGGAAGCCTAAAATAGGCAAATGAAGTTCCAGGTGCACACCTAGGAAGGAAGTCATACCATCTCGAAAATAAACAGCTCACTGGGAACCAGTGTCTCACACCTGTAATCCTAGCTACTCAGGTGGCTAAGATCTAGGAATAGTGGTTCAAAGCCAACCCAGGCAGGAAAGTATGTGAGACAATTTTTTAAAAAAATATATTGTTTATTGTAAAGATACTGTACAGAGGGGTTACAGTTACATGAGTAAGGCAATGAGTCCATGCCCTATACAGCGTTGTGACCCACTCCTTTGTTTTCTCCCTACCATCCCTTCCCTCACCACCTCCCCAACTTCCCCCCCCCCAAGTTGTAAAGTTCGTTTTGAACATAGTATCTTGTACATCTCATTGTTACAATGGGTCAACCTGTATCCTTGTTTTGGCATTTTGTTATTTCCCTTCCCCTCCCCAAATTAGAAAAATGTATATACAAGATGCAGGGCACTGGAATCAAATACGGTGAAAACAGGGGTTATACTGTGGGGAAAGAACATAGAAAAGAAACAAAAAAATCACATAGTACACTATGAGTATATTAAAACCAACAGCAAGAAAGATAAAACCTCTTGTGTCCCTATCTTGGGGTTCATTTTGCTTAGCATCGTCTTACATAGTCATATGTATGTAGCTTTTGACCTTTTCTGCTTGTCTGTCATGGAGCTTGAAATCTGGACCTGGGCACTATCCCTGAGCTCTTCAGCTCAAAGCTAGTGCTCTACCACTTGAGCCACAGCACCACTTCTAGTTTTCTAGTGGTTTATTGGAGATAAGAGACTTACAGACTTTCTTGCCAGGCTGGCTTTGAACTGTGATCCTCAGATCTCAGCCTCCTGAGTACCTAGGATAACTGGTGTGAGCCACGGCCCTGGGCTTATGTGAGACTCTTATCTCCAATTAACCACCAGAAAACTGGAAGTGCAGCTGTGGCTCAAAGTGATAGAGTACTAGCCTTGAGTGAAAAAGCTCAGGGACAGAGCCTGGGCCCTGAATTCAAGCCCCACAACCAACAACAACAAAAACTAAAACCCCAGAACCAAAAACAATGACACGAGATAAAGCTGGAGGTATGGCTCAGCAGTACAATTCTAGCCTAGAAAATGTGAGAGGCCTTCAGTTCAAACCCAATAACACACACACCCATACACACAGAGAGAGGGGTTATAAGATGTAATGCATAGTATTTAGGATAAGGCTGAAGTTTATGGGTATACTATTTGTCTAACATTCATAAGGTCCTGGTTTCAATCCCCAGCACTACCAAACAATAAAATTTTAGAAATATTAATACTCCTATCAAAAGATTATTAATCCATAATTCACATGGAATGAGACTGATTGCTCCGAAGTTGTATTATTGGTGGTGAGTTGTATTACTTAAAATTATTTTCTCTCAAACATTTTAGATGACTGTAATGTTTTAGAGCAATTATCTGAGACAAGATGAGACAAATAGGATGCTTTGGGGAGAATTTCTACGTTCCCCCAAGTATGTCGCTCTCTAAGTAGAGCAGTAGTATTGCACCAGTTGAACCAAGTGAGGCTGACCAATCATTATTTCTAGCTGAATTCCTCTTTACCTGTGAGTTTCACACCCTTCCACCCTGTGGAGTGACCATCAGCCCCCCTGCCACAGCTGCATTGTTTCTCTCTGGCCACTCACCTTTCATATCATTTATGCTACTTAAAACATCTTAGAATGACCTCTATTTCCTCTCTTTCACCTAGAAAGCCAATCTTCAAGAGAGCAGATCACTCCAGGCATGAGTAATGGGATAGAAAGCGTTTCATCTCAGTGGGTTGCCAATTTGAATCTGGCACTAGGCAGCAGTGATTGAAATTCATCACTGCATGGCAGGGCAATATGCCCTCCGTCCAGAGGCTACCTAAGGCACTCCTTACTTCTTCTGCCTAGTACGGATGATAGGTGTCCCTGCCCAACACCTTCCCTATAGTTTCTAGTAATTATCAACCCACCCTCTAGCAAGTCCTAAGAAAGATGCCAGAAAATGCAAGTGATCCTTGTTACACATTATAGAAGCCCCAAAGATTTATAATAATGTCTCCATAGCCAACCAGTATGAATTCATGGATAAAGAGGGAAGGGCCTTTTCTTAATAAACACCATAATCTACATGATACGCCTGAAACAGTCTCTCTCAATACAGTCTTGGACTGCTTTTACATTCTGAATTATTGTGGAAATTTTTAATTAAATGAATTATTATCACTCACCTGTATTCGTATGATCAAAAGCACACTGACTTTGGCTGAGTGAATTGAGTAGTCATACTGAGTAAAGAATGTGGAGCAAGTTGTTGTCCTACCCTTGCCTTGGAGATGGCTGGGTGTGTAAGTGAGCTTTCTGTCCTGCCTGCTGCCACTCAGAGTGGACTGTGATACTGTCCCTGCCCTTGAGAGCTGCCAGTCTACTTTCAGTATAACAGAGTGGGGCAGCTTGCACTGGTCCCAAGAGCGAGAACCTGGGATTCAATGGTTTTGTAAAACTCCTGGGGGAGGGAATGTGTTTGTATTTTTTGTCTGAGGTACTACTTCCTTTCCAGGAGTGGGTACTTGAATAACCATTATTTATTGCGTTAAACTCAGAAAAGTCTGCCTTGAATTTAACAACCTCTACCCTATTTCATGATCAATGGAAGCTTCCCAAGGTTTACCAATCACTTTAGTTCATCTTGGTATATAGTATTCCTAGTATTGAAGTATGAATTCCTATCTATCTATCTATCTATCTATCTATCTATCTATCTATC